CATCATCGCGCCGGACGGCACCCTGCGCCAGAAGACCATCAACGACCTGCCGGTCGGCCGCTCGGTCGACGAGACGCTGCGCCTGGTCAAGGCCTTCCAGGTGTGTGTGTGGGGGATGGGGTGGGGAGGAGCACATGCATGGTTGTAGTGCCTGGCATGTCGGTGTTCCTCACGAGGCGCTGACGCTGTGCGTGCACCTTTGTGTGTGCTTTGTGGGTGCGCATATGCGTGTGGGCTTACCTGTGTGAGTGCGTGCAGGGGGCCCGGCTTGGTTTATGATCGTCTCATGCGCCCGTCTGCCTGCGCGCCCCGTCGAGTCGGCGCTTGCTGCAGCTGCCCTGAACGTGCGATTGAACGAATGCTCCCTACTGGCCCCCAAAACCCTGCAGTTCACCGACGAGCACGGGGAGGTGTGCCCCGCCAACTGGAAGCCTGGGGAGGCGTCCATGAAGGTGGGCGGCGTAACACAGCCTTTTTTTGCTTGTCGAAGTCTTGCGTGGGTTGCCGGTATGGACGTCATGTCACATCTGCTGGGCACGCACGCGCACACACACACACACACACACACACACACACACACACTTACACACACATACACAGACACACGCTTCCACACACACGCGCAACAGCATTCTCACAATCCAAACACACCTCCCTGCCTCACCCATGCGAATCGACGCCCTGCCCAATTTGTGTCCAGGCCGACCCCAAGGGCTCCCTGGAGTACTTCTCCAAGGTCGAATGAATTGAAGGACGGCAAGAACCTGAGGACGCTGGCGGCAGCGACGCAAACCGTGCCGCCGCACAGGCGGCCGACGCCGGGGGCAGCCGCGGCGCGCCGGGCGGTGCCGCTGGGGCTGGGGCCGCGGAGGCGGGGGCGGCGGCGGAGCCGGCTGCGGCGCGGCCGCAGTGCTGCGCTGTGAGCTGATGTGGCGGACACGTGGAGGCGTCATGCTGCGAACTCGCGTGGCGGCGTCGCGGTGCCAAATTGCGCGTGTGTGTATCCATTGCAAATTCATTGCCTCCTTTTGGCAGGCCCCTAGCCCCACCAGCTAGGGCCGCTCCCTTTCTGCCTCTGTAACGAGTGCACATACACATCTTCAGAGTTGGATGCTTGGTCGGGCGCCCACGGCAGTCGGGCAGTGATCAGTGGAGCGCGACAGGGCAGCGAGGAGCGGACACAGCGCGTGCCCAGCAGTACTTGGGTGAGCACTTGTGGTGAGCGATTTACAAAGCATGAGTGTGCCTGCTCAAACGGTGCGTACACGTGAACTCCATTTGCCTGAAGCCGTCGCATAGAACATCACGAAAAAGATATGCACGGCTCAAACCAGCAAGTGAAGCACTGATCTGCTTGCGCGCACAGCCTGAAGTGCTTAGAGCTCATACAGGTTTCATAAAGCTTATGATTATAAGAGCAGGGCATCCCAACTGATAGCACAGCGCTGCTGAGTGCGGGCATTGGGGTCTTTGAGTCGTGTATAGCCTGCGTTGGACCTCACAGCTGCGGCATAGTAGTTTATCAGTGAGTCAAACTTCGCTGCCCGACCCCGCGCCGCAGCTCGCACTGCATGCGCGACGCCGCTCTACGCGGCGCACTGCAGGCGCCTGTCACTCGCACACGCGCCCCGCCGTCGCCCCACGCGCCCGCCGCGCCCCGCCCCGTCCCCCAGCCGCAGCAGCCATGAAGACCAAGGGCGGCCGCCACGCGATGAACCCCGCGGACGCGTTCCGCAAGCAGCAGCGCAAGAAGGAGATCGCGCGCAACAAGGCGGAGCGCCAGTACATCCGCGACGCCTATGGCCGCAAGGACAAGCCCCAGGAGTTGAGGGAGGAGTTGAAGGAGCTTATTGATTTGGAGGCAAACGGCAATCTGAGCAAGCTGCAGAAGATTCGGAAGAAGGTGCTGCAGGAGGCATATGATGCGGCGCTCAAGCGGCAGAAGGTGCGGAGGGCGTGGGGGGCCGCGCTCGGCCGCGCTGGGACGCGGGGCTGTTGTGGGCCGGCGGGCGGGCGCGAGCAGCAGGCAACGCAGTCCCGGCGGCGTCAGACGCCTGCGTTTTTTCCAACCCCTGGCGGCCCCAGCTTGGGGTTTGCAGGGAGAGCAACCAGCAGCCGCCCATCGCTCCGCTCAATGGTGTGCTGCACTGCACACCCGTCCCTGCAAGGCTTGCGCCTTACCCACGCTCATATCCCCTCCGCCTTTGATAACCCCCCCGCCCCCAAAACAAACCATCCCATGCAGGAGGAGGAATTTGCTAAGAAGCGCGAGCAGCAGCTGCAGCAGGCGCTAGCGGACGGGACAGAGATACCAGAGG